TTTACATTTTGTTTTTCAAGGGAATGCAGTCTTGATTCAACTGTGAACAAAGAATCAGGCAGCTGTGGAAATATATAGAAAACAAGCTACAGTCACCTTCCTGTTCAGCACGCAGAACACAGACTGAATTGCCCTTTGATTTTAAAAGCTGAGAAAAGGTTTTATCCTGCTGTAAGAGCTGCCTTGGTCAGACACTCTCCCAACAATGCAGTCAGGTAAATTATAAGCTGATAAGTTTTTCTTTAAAAGTATGGTTGATTGTGATTTTTTTTTCCTTTAAGATAAGGGGCTATAGTAACACCTAGATCTTAAAAAACTTGAAGATGCTTTTAAGTCTTAAGATTTTCATTTTAAAACTTGAAAAATCCTTAATATGTAGATTGGAATTTAAAGGAGCAATATATGTAAAAACAGAAGGTTCTTAAAGAATGAATAGGGAAAAATGGAAGTAGCCAGCTTACCATATACTTAAATTTATAATGTTGTGTAAAAACTCTATTTTGGCATCTTCTAGCCCTAGACAGAGGGGTTTAACTGCACATGGAAGAGGCCTGCCAAGATGGTCTCAATATAGGCAACAAAGCCAGCTACCATACACATAGCATCAAGCTCCTGCATTTTTTCAGTGGATATGCCAATGTTTGGAATTGGGCTTCAGTTAATGAACCTGCCCACTGCTGTTATCCTTAACTCTTTTTTTTTTTTCCCCTCTATTGCCTACTTTCTAATCTCTGTTGTGGTCATACCCCAAGTAAGCACCTAGCACCTTTTCTTAGAATTACCTGAGTCTTGAGTCTTGAATCCAAGCAAGGTGTCTCCTGCCATCTGTATCAGTATGGAATGGTTATGTGGGTCGCTTTCAGGCCTAAGAATTTAAATCTTGTCTAAATAAACAACGAAGACCCTGGAATAGTCATGGTGGAATAGCAGTTATTCTGCATTAGCTCCTGTGAGCACTCCAGGCTGGCACCCGTATTGCAGGGCAAAGGGAACAGGGGCGAGCGGACTATGAGCGGCTGTGGCACGGTGAATTCCTGGCCTGCCGGGTTCATGTTTCAGTTGCCAAAAGCAGAGGGTGTTCCAGAGCCTTGCTCGAGTGGCAAACTCGGGCACGTTTATTGCCTCATTCCTGCCATTGGAATGCGAACACTTGGCCTGCGGAAGCCCATTTCCCATCCATAGGTCCTCCTGCACGGCCACAGGAACAGTGTGAACAGGCCCTGCTTGCAGCGCTAGCCGACCCGCTTTCAAGAAGGCTCTTGCAGCTCTTTGCAAGGATCAGTTTGCAGCTGTGTAATACCTTGCACGAGCTATGTGCTTGTGTATGCAAGATAAGGCCTACGACATGAGCTGTACGGGACGGGTGAGCTTCGCTCCTCGGAGCCTTCCTGCGGAGGAGCCCTGGAGCTGCTGCTCGCAGCGGCACACGAGGGCAGAGCCAGGCTGCTGAGCAGCAGGGCCCTTCCATAAACCTGCCCTTTGCCATGGCCTCCTCAAGTGTCCCGTTTTGAATGGATAATTTTAAAGCCTCGTAAAATG